AAAAATCCCTCACAGTTTCCACACCAAAAACAATATCCCCTCAAGCCTGAGGGACGATGAGCCTTATGCCTATCATAAATTCCTTAAAACAACAAGGGCTACTAATTAGTTGCTCCAGCCCCAATAATAAATTTAAAATTCTCATAAAAGTTAATTTTAAAATACAAGTTACAAAGTAAACAACTGGAAAGGATATAGATAGGTATTGAATGTATTTTTTGAGACGTTAAAGGAAAAAGGAATGGTTTTTTGGATGAGAAAGGATTTTGTAAAGAAGGGTTTGTCCTAAAGATTGTTTCAAATAGGAAGAATAAGGACAAGCCATCAAAGGGTTTAATATGTTGTATGAAGGTCTGAGTAAGTTTTAAAAGTGTGTACTAAAAAGCTTTGGTGTGTGATCAAGTTAAAGTTGACTGTAATCTAAGAGTTGCCTAAAAGATTTTTAGGGTCATGTCAAACTAAAATCAAATTCTCTATGTCTATAAAATAACAAGGTTATCTTAATATTGTTCTGCTCTGAGTAACATCTACAAAAAACTGTTATAGAGAAAGATTTTATCAAAGAAATTATTTGTGTTTTCTGCTGATCTTGTCAAGCTTTAAGTATACTAAATCAGAGTTCATTTACGTATTTGCTCATGTGTCTTAAATGACCACCTTGTACCAGTGTTGTGTCTGTACTTTAAATATGGTGCAAACATTTACAAAGTTATATAAAAAATGAGCTAGAGCTCTCTTTTATACAAGAGTGTTACATTTAACCTAAATCCTGACAGTCAGCCCCTGCCTCCCATAGGTCACCTACCTAGGTGTAGTCTTAAAGGGACAGACTCACTCCCTGAGTCATGAGGGAATTGGCCCAAACCCTCCATTTCCCACTCCCCCATACCATAAAGCAGCTTAGAGCTTTCTTGGGAGTTACAGGATTTTGCAGAATCTGGATCCCTAGATATGCAGCCCTTAGCAGACACCTTTTTATGCTCCTTCTAATATTCCTATTTGGGTCTTACATAATAAATGCTCTCAAGATTGTTTCCCCTCTCCCAACAGCCCCTTTGAAATAATGTATGGCTGCCCATTTCTCTTAGGGAACTTGCCTCCAACAGACCCTGCTCCTCTGGCTGACTATCTACCTTATATTAATTGTCTCAAGGAACTTCTCAGAGAGCATGCAGACCAGATCCTGCCCCACCCTATAACAATTTCTGTTAAACCAGGGGATCTTGTTCTCCTAAAGGATCTTCGACCCTCTTCATTGGGACTTCAGTGGACCGGCCCTCATCTGTTCATCCTCAGGACACCCACTGCTGTCAAGCTCAACGGGATCCCCCAGTGGCAGCACCTCTCAAGGAACAGTTAGAGAAACAGAGAAGGGAGTTGGAGGACTCTTGGAAACCTCTAGGGAACAACATTTCACAGTGGTTCTCCTGGCCAATGCCCATCCTAATGCCTATGTTCTTGCTCTTCTATTCTTAAGCTTCCTCCCTTGTATTATTAAAAACAGTACAAAGATGTCTCTTAGACCACATGTCTGCTACTGCTAATCAAAACTTTAACCAGTTGTACCTCCAGGGATATCAACCTCTCCAAACCCATCCAGAGGACTGCTGTGAGGGCCTCTACCAGGACGCCACAGGAGTCTGAGGATCTCGCCCCATACAGCGCCCCCTGCCAGCAGGAAGCAGCTAAGAGACCAACGCTTCGCCCCAATTCCGATCCTCAGCCCCTACCCTCATCATTATTAAAGAAAAAATGAGGGAATGATGAGTAATAATGTGGCCATTTTATCCTCAGGCCTCACTTCTTGAGAAATGGAGCCTCCTCCAGGCAACCTCAACTCCAACGGCAGCCCCACCCTTAACAGAAATTCCCACGCTCTAACCTCCTCAAGCTCCCTCTTCTAAAGAGCCACGCCTAGTCCAGAGCCAGCGCTGCGCCATCTTTCCCCGGCCAGCCTGGCAGTTGGTGGCTGCCATTAAACCTTGCTCTTGCACATGAGACTTTTCTTGTGAGCTTTCTTTGCGTGTTGCGTTTTTCCTAACAAGAACAGTATTTTTACGATAGCCTTGTTATGAGCTCAGAGAATTCAGTTTTAGTTTAACATAAGTACATTAAATTTTCACCTTCTAAAACCTTTAATGTAACTTTTAGATTTTAGTCCATTTAATCATTTATATAAGCATTTGTAAACTCCATCTTTTTATGACAATCTATTTTGTATTTTTTTGATAACTTACTTTGTAATCCTTGGGGGAGTTTGTCTTTATTCTTTTTTTTATTTTGAGACAATTTTTGAGGACAAACCTTTTTATATTATTCTTTTTTTTATCTAAAAGTTTTTTTAAGCTTTTACTTTTAAAACCATTTTTTGTTGTTATTTGTTGGAAATAACTCATAAAACCTTTTAATGTAGAGCTTTATATTTGTATGAAAAAAAGTAGATGAAAAAAGTAGAAAGAAAGTAGCCTTAAAATTATTTTTTGTATAAAAATAATTTATAGAAAGTCCATTTGTTAATAGACCCATGGATTATAAGAGAGAATTAAATTCCAGACTTTATTTACCACAGCATGAGAGGGCAAGGTCATTTTTTTAACTATCTAAATTTTTAGATTTTTGTTGCAGTCTGCCACCTGGCCCTTTCCTTTTTTCTAGTTTGAGTGTTAACCCCTGAATGCCTGCATCTTAGTGAGACCTGATTGAAACAAGTTTGAAAACTGTTCTTTTTTTTTTAAGTAGCAGTAGAATAGAGCAGAAGTAACAATTTTTTAAATATAACTATATAAGGATCATCCTGAAGATGTTTACAAATTTATATGTTTTAAAAAAAGGGCTTAAGCAGGCTACAACAGAGATCTGGCTTTTTTGAATACTCAGGTATTCAACCAATTCAATTGGTCAATGTCACATTAACCAATTACAATAATTCACACTAAGTGATCCCTGAGCTGCTGAATTTTCTTTAGTGTCTTATTTTCGGAGGTAATCGCAGGATGTATCTTATCAAATTTCCATAAAAAATATTGGGGAAAAAAAAGTCAATGCCCAGGTTTAATTATATAAAAAAACCCTCAAAAGTTGTGTTCCAAAAGTTGTACAAATTTCTTGTGTGGGGCACATAGCCAATTGTACAAAAGAATAAGACTTAGAAGAGATAACTTACAAAACCCTATTTAATCAATAAAATAGAATTTTGGATCTTTGAATGAAAAATAAGAAATCACACACTCTAAAGTGAACAAATGGAAAAATGATAAATTAAGAACATTTAAATTTTATCCTGAAAACTAATTCTTAAGAAAAAAAGACTTAACGAGAGAGTAGCAAAGAAGGGAAATTAAAGTATTATTAATTAGGGAAACAAATCACTAATTTTTCCCATTTTATAATGAAAAACCTAGGTGTGGAGAGGTTAAGTGACTTGCTCAATGTTCTACTACTGGAATAAATAAGCTATAAATTCAGTGTCCACCTGTGTCAGAACTACGTTAGGAAAGTCAGCAGTGAATAAAGTCAGTAAGAACTGGAGAGAGGATGCCAGTTTCCCAATGCTTGACCCCAAAGTCTAGATTCTCTTTGGTAATTAATTCATTGCCAAGACATTTATAGTGATTCTGCAGGAGACCACTAGAGATTTCTGATGGGCTTGAAGTGGTTAACTATACTTGTTTCCAAATTAGGATGTCTGTCTTTTTAACTGTGAACAATAGCTTGACATTGTGAGCAAAGTAGGCTGTCAGAACATGTCTGATGAGGGAGTGGGCATTGAGATTTCAGTGACTCCTGTTCATGGATTAGTTGCCTTAATCTGAATAATATCTGTCACAAAACTTAATGTTTGCTAATGGAAGGAAGAAAGGAAGGAAGGGAGAGAGGGAAGGACAGAAGGAGGGAAGGAAGGAAAGAAGGAAGGAAGGAAAGAAGGAAAGAAGGAAGGAAGGAAATAATGAAGAAGAGGCTTTTCATTCCTAGATGGTGTCATAGCTTTCTCAGTTCAATAGTTTTTAGATCTACTTTGGTTGTGAACACTTTGCTTTGACAAAGCAGAAATTGTTTGAGCCACTCTTCTGCAGTGTTTTGTGCCCATTGTTACAGGTGCATTGACTCATCAGTCCTCTCTGCAGAAGCCCAATGTGTCCACACCAGGACAAAGTATAGTTGCACTTACAAGCAGGTCGTTCTTTCTGTTATTCTTTTCTTCTTCCTCCTTGTTTGACTGGACATTTTTATATAGATGGAAATCAGATTATAGAAGGGTCAGTCAAGATAACACAAGTGTCTTACATGCAAAGGAAAAGAAGGAAGGCAGGGGCTTTCTTATCATTTGCTTTGGTTACAAGAGTGACTTGTAGGCTGGTTATGTAAATGTAAGCTTGTCTACTTTCACTTCCTCTTTGATTTCTGCACTCTTCTGTTGCTTGGTTATAACATTTGGGTCAGCTAGGTCGACTTGGGAATAGCTACTCTCTAAATAAAACAAAATCCATGATCTTCAAGGTTTAACCTTAAAAAAATCAGCAGATGGAGGGAAGGAGCTGTACCAAGCATCCTGCACAGTGTCTGACTGTGAGATTCACAGGTTCTCCCCCATCTCAGTCCTTATCCTGAGATAATCATTTAGTTCCAGCTCAACTTTACAGTCTCTGTCTCTCTTCACTCCCAAGCTCCCAGACTGTCTTTCTGTGGCATTGACTAGAAGTACGAAAAGCAAAGATGAAAATCCAAGCATAGTTCAATGTATTAAATTATTTAAAGATCTTTAGTGGGTTTCTTTTCTTTAAGAAGTGTTTTTTGCTAGTTATACATATAATAAAAAGAGCATTATAGATAGTTGTGGGATACTAAAAAAGAATAAAGAAAATAAAAATGAAGTGTAACTTCATTAATTCTTAACTCTGTGTAGTTCTTTAAGACATTTTAAGGTATCTTTTTATTTTACACTGTTGAGATCATGAGTTATGGGTATTCCCCTTGTTTGAAAACCAATTTTATTTACTTACCTCTGTTTTCTTTTTTTTCTCTCTTTCTAAAATAAGTTCAGCCCTTCTTTTAGAAATCATATCCTCCTGTTAAAGAAACATTTACAAATTTTAAATAGAAAATGGTAAAATGTCTTTCTATGTGTCAATATATTTTTTTCCAAAGTGAGGATAATATTTAGTTGGAAGGAGGGGGAACCTCCCCTGAAAGCATGTTTGCATCCTTGTCCTCTGGGCTTCTAGATCAATTATTTCAGCTCTTGGGGTCAGTCACTTTTTCCACAAATTTCAGAAGTCCTTTTCAAAATTTATTGTGCATTTGTTTGTTTTTGGTAACACTGGTTTTGTACATGGAGAAATAGAGACATACTGGGAGGTAATTTGTTGAAAATGCTAATCTTTTATTTTACTACTAAAATCTAGTCACCTACAATGGGTGGATCTGGAGAACATAACCTTAAGTAAAATTAGCCAGGTTCAGAAGGCCAAAGCCACATGTTTTCTCTCAAATGAGAGGCCTAATATAAAAACTAATGTATACCTAATATGAATGCAGCAGTGTTATGAAAAACAGGCCAGGCTAGGGCACACACAAGAGGTGGAGGGTAAAAGAAGGAAGTTAAGATGAATATGGTTGATGTACTCTCTATACAAGAATGAATATACAATTTTTAAACTGGTTGAAACAGCCATAAAAAAGGGACTAAAGTAGAAAGAAAACTAGAGGAGATAAACCAAACTGGGTTATAATACATATATACATGGAAGTGCCACAAGGAAACTCCCTGTATAGCTATCTTAAACAAGCAAAAATATCATTTATTTTTTTTCTCTTTTGCAAAACTGGAGAATAGGAGGGCAAAGCAGATCCTGTGATAACAATAAGAGGGGGGAGGAAGTGGGCAAAGGTTGTAGGAGGGTGAATATAGTGCAAAAACTGTGTACACATGAATACTGTGTACACATGTGTAAACAGAAAAAAAGATACCTGTTGAAACTATTCCAGGAATGGTGGTTGGGGGGGGAATGAAGAAGAATGGTGGAGGAGGTAAATTCAAGTATGATATACTTGATAAATTGTAAGAACCTTTGTAAATGCCACAATGTACCCCCACCCAGCACAACAAGAAAAAAATATAATCACCTAAAAATATATTTGTACATATGAGGAAAGCCCATATGCTCTGGAAATGGTCACAGACATGGTGAATGATAGTCATTCAGTTTTCCTAGCATCCTCTAAATCTAATGCAATGGAGCCTTTGATAGGTTCTGAAGGTTTGCATGAAAACTAATCAGTTTCCCTCAGGTTTGGGGGCTGGTGCACTCAGGACTTTCCAAACTACGGTTTCTTTAAATATATATATTTGAGTCTACTTTTCCTCTGTTCTCTTCACTCAAATAAGTAGTCAGTGAAGTTTAATTATTGTGTATCTGCTAGATGCCAGCCCTCTCTTGAGCACTGTAATATGTATTACTTCTTTTTCTGCTCAAAAGACACCAGCTAGTCAACAGTATTACGTACCGTAAGGGTGAGTTAACAGAAATTCAGAGGTAGGACTCATATGATGTCACGCAGCATGTGTGAAGATGGTTCAGAAACTAGCTTGAAAAGGGAATGGAGAAGCATAGGGTGTGGTGTCTGGTACAGAGAAGAGTTTGCATTTGTTCCCTTTGAGAAATACAGGCAAGAAGAGGTTTTGGAAGAAGAATGGAAGTTCAGATCCTATGGGGTGACTTAATCAAAATAGAATTAGGAAAGTTAGTCTGGAAGTAGCCTGGAGGGTGCAGAGATGAAGCCAGGAAGGACAATTATAAGGTCACTGTGGGAGTGTTGATGTGAACCAAGAAATCTCTGAACTACGATGGAGTTAGTGGGTGTGAAAAGGAAGGAGCAAATACATGAGGTTATGAACTTGCTCCTGAAATCTGCTGCCTTTTTCCTGTGGTTCCCTAAAGATCTCATAGCAAGGTACTCCTGTCTGGTAGAGTGAAACCTACCAGATAGTGTACCACTGACATTTATTTGCTTTGTAAAGAGATGTATTAACATGATTATAAAAAGATCCTCAAATAATTCTTAGTTCTTACTATAAGGACTCGATATTTGATAAGATATGTCTTCATGCTTACTATGGTATTAAAACCAGAAAACCATATTCTTATGAGGACCACTTTATAACTTAAATACATGCTAAACAGATTTATTCCCATGTGTTTATGCTGGACACGCACCCTAATTTTTGCTTTCATGTCTCTGATGAATTTTTTTCTTTCTAATTTCTTCTGTTGTTTCACTCTCCACTTTTCAACTCGGGAGGGAAGGAGGCGATCAAAAATATCTTGATCTTCAACTTGTATAAAAACAGCAGCATCTGGGAAAAATCCACGTTCTCCCAGAAACTGGGCTTCCTCAGGATACCGTGGGAAACCATCTAGTATAAAACCTGTGGAACTAGGTAAATTTTTCCATAATTTATTTGCTTAAAATATTGTATTATAGATATATACTGATATTACATATAGTTATATTTGTACATATTATAGATTTTAAAATGTATTGATAAATCCCAAAGTTAAATCAAGTGTATAATGAATAATTTAAAGAGTTTACTGTAGTGTACTTTAATATTTCTATTTGTATTCATGGTATTTCTTCTCCAAAATGTATAAAACTAGATTAAAATTATAATGCTTTGTGCTTATACTTATAATATAAAATTATAGATGATCAGGTTGAATTACTATTAACTAGAAACTTTCTAAAGAAGACCACAGGAGAACAGAAAATAGGAGTGCCCAGCTTAATGAATGTGTCACCTTTACACAGTCTTTCTTTTAATGATGCGGTAATTCATACCCTCATCCCTGGGTCTACTTGAAAACAATAACAATTATTGATGTGTGTATTCTGGCTCCTATGTATAAGATGACTACATTCAAATGGGACTGTCAGCCTTGCAAGAATAAAGCAACTTTAAATACTAACACATTTTCATTAGAAGTGCTTGTCAGATAATCGGGCTTTGAAAACTTGGCTTTGTTTAGTTGAGAGACATGATTTTGGTCCTCTTTTGCTAATCCTACACATCTAAAATTTGTCTTGTTTTATGCATTTATATTTAAATATGTGTTTCTTCTTAATGTAACAGAACTTTATGAACATCTGATAGTTTCAGCCTTCAAAGACATTGATTCCAAATGTTAATTTTCCCGCCTTATTAAGTAGGTAAATTTCTGTATAATGGCCATAATATGTGTGTCCTGTTCTTCAGAGATGTGTTTAGTTTATAGTCTATCCTGGGAGGAGCAATTTCATTCCTAGTGTGCCAGCTGTCACTTCTGTGTCAATGTAAATGTCTTCCAAGACTGTGTCTCTACATCCAAACCTTCTTCTAGGGGTTGATTCAGACTTTTCAAAGTACTGTTTAGTTTCTCCATCGGAATGCCCTTTAGGAATTAAATAAGCATTATACCGTTGAAAATTCTACTCACTCTTACCCTTCCAAACTGCTCTTCCTCAGACTCGCCAGTCCTCTGGTGCCAAACTTAAGAAATACCTTTGGACCTCTCCCCCAGCTTCCTCCTGCCTCTCACTGTTAATAGCTAAGCAATGGCATGCCTCATCTGTATTCACATTTCCATTTCAGCTGCCCCTCAATTCAGCCCTTAGTAGATCTCTCCAGGACTAATTCAATAGCCTTTTAAAACGTGTTGATTGCTTTCCTGATTTATAAGGGCAAAAAATCTCACTGTAGAAAAGTTGGAAAATAGAGAAGAAAGCAAAATTATCCATAAGTATGTATCACAGAGAATTTGCTTTATTTCTTTCCAGTTGGTTCTTCCTGTGTCTATTTCTCTATCATAATATAAATAGTTCTGCATCCTTTTTTTAACCTCATATCATATAATATTTCACATGCTATGACAAATTCTTCATTATAACAAATTTTAATGGTTGCATAATATTCAGCTATTTTATTTAGGCTTTTCTAATTTCACTTTTTACAATTCTTCAATCCATATCTCTGAATATCTATCTATACCTATATTTATCTGTCTAGATAGATATTTTAAGGTGTAGTATTGAAGTCAGGAGCTAAATAAGTCATAATTATGCAGCTATAAGGAACCTGCTCATGTTTCCTACAACTACTGATCTAATTTAGGGAACAAGAACTTAAAAAAAAATTGGTGACTAATAATCCTACTCACTGACTTCAGCTAGGGACTAGGTGAAAGAGATTACTGTAAGGATTAAGTAAGTTAATTTAGATCAAATACAGTCAACCAGTACCCAGTGCATAGTAACTTGGAAATAATGTGTATGCTATAATCAATATTATAAATATCATTTCATTCTCTGCTGGTGGAACTCAAGGCAGGATTCTGTTTAGGGAAACAAGGTGAAATTCTAAACTCTGGTGGCCCGGAAATTTGTTCTAGATAGGTCAGCATTGTTCCTGGATATTTGGTCATGGGCAAACACTATTGACAGCTATCAAGTGGTCTTAACTGTAATTGTTTAAAGGTTATAGGGGGAAAGAGTCCAGCACATCATTAGGGTCCATGGACTTAGAAGATGGTGTGTGTGTGTGTGTGTGTGTGTGTGTGTGTGTGTGTGTGGTCTTAATTATAATTGCGTATTAGAATCACATAGAGAGAACTCAAAACCACTAGTGCCTGGTCCTGTTCTCATATCCTGACAGACTCTGATTTAATTATTTTAGGGCGGGACCTAGCATCAAACTTTTTCAAAAGCTCTGCAGATGGTTTTAATGTTTAGCTCAATTGAGAATTACTATTTTATATGAATGTAAAAGAGAAAAATTCTTAAAAATATGTTGGACAACATTTTTACCTTTAATAATAAAGCAAATAAAGTCAATAACTATAATCCTGTATAAGTTAAAATACCATATGGGTTCTTTAAGCCACCATTCAGAAAGAATTACTTCAAGAATTTCAGAAGGCAGTGGCTCATTTTCCATCAGACTTGATTTGATTGCTTCTTCTTCTTTTGTTAATTGTACTTCTGGAAGCTAAAAGCAAAAAATCAGAAAATAAGACAAGCTTTAAAGCTCAATATTAATACTGTGTTACATAATTGATTAGGAGGAGATCTAGTTTTTCCTCTGAGATCATTTTTATACTACTGCTTGTAAACATTCTAAAACTTGAGCTCTTGTCTTTGTACTAGTATTTAATTGATTATAAATAGTTTCCAGTATAGCCAAGAGGATTTGCTAGTGATAACATGATTTTCATATGTGGCCTCAGGGTCAAAACTCACCACTTTTTGCTCAATTTTCCTCACACACCTATAAGGCTTACCTGATTATTGTCATTTATCCTATAATTTTGTGGTATTATCTCTTCAATCAAGATCCTGATTAGGGAATGGGACGACCAGGCTGTTATCTGAAATAATCAACCTCATAATAACAAATAGAAAATATCGTGATAATTAATTTAAGTCAATTTTCTCTGAGGTAAGACTACCCTTTTTAAAAATCAGTTCTTACTAGAATGAAACTACATTTTTTTGTTGAATACTTTTGTCATCAACATTCTGAAAATGAATAAGGTATGACAAATGTTGCGTACCAGGAAGTAGGAACTTGATTTTATTATTTTAAATAAAATATTTAAAATGCCTTCTGAGAGGTATAAATGAGTCAGAAAACAGCAAAAGGAAACTGAATAATTATAGAAAAGCAGTAAATATTTTGTTGCATAAAAATTCTGGACCCATTAAATTTAAAAATCTGGATCAATTTGTATTTTTAAGTTTCTAGAATACCAATTTCTCTCTGACTCTACTAAATATAGGTGGAAATCATTTAAAGACTGTGTTCGAAGGTATGTCACATTATCTATTAGGGATACTTCACATGTCACTATACAACCCTGCTCAGATTTCAAGTGTTATACATGACTGTACTTGGGTCTACTTATGGGGCTCATTTTGAGAAGAAAATGGCCTAACTATAACAGAAACAGTTGAAACAATAAGTTAGAATTAAGATCTTTCTTTGGAGAAGCCAGATAGGAACCATCTAAGAAATACATACAATGTTTATTAGGTATCAAAAGAAATTGATATTTTGAAATCTCCATTGTCACTAGGGTGTTACAAGATTTGATAGAAAATAGAGAATATGACATTATGGAAAACTTTGTAGTCTTGTCCAGAAATATCGAATAAGATAGTCCCAAATAAATGCTATCTATGAAATGGTCGAGTTAGGGAAAGCGTTTCTGCTTTTCAGGACAGTCAAGCCAACTCAGTATTTCATAGTCCAGATGAGCAGCGCGATCCATATTTATCAGTAGGGAGGAGGATTGCTGTGGCTAATTTTTCTCCTTAGGAACTTCATAGAGTTTTATTCTACATTGATTTGACTTCCCCGAAATAACACCTGTAAAACACTACATGCAACCAGACTCACCTGTTTCTTTGTGCTTTCTTCCTCAATTTTAACATTGGCCTGCATTGCGAGCTCTTCAAATTCTTGTTTTGAAACTTGCTCTTCGTCAGAGTCTTCCTCAAATTCAGGGCCAAATTTCTTTTCAGCTTTAAGCAGTAATTTTTCTTGAAGAACTTCCTCAAACTGAATATGAAAAATGCCAAAATTTTCTGCCAACTTTCTTCCATGCATGGTTTTGCCAGAGCCATGGGGACCCAGAAGGCATATTCTTAGTGGAGGCGGCTGCCATGTGGTGTGGGCCAGGGAGGGGTGTAGGACAGAAGGAGAGTGAAGCAAAGAAGTTTTGAGTAATTAAGAAAACAGGTTTATTAACTACTTTCCCTAACACTGATAGGAATGATCACTTTATAAATTCAATAACCACTTTATAAATCTTAATTCCTTGAATTTATGCATTAGGATTTCAATGAATGTGATTCATGGCATTAACACCATAAGATTAGGGAGAATCAACAACCATGAGATCATCTTGATATCATATGCCAAAAAGAATAAAATGAAATTAGCTTTGTTTCTTTTTGAGAAAAGTTTTAAGGTTAATAAAGAATGCAAAGACACTTTCTTAGTTTGATTTTAAAAGATTTCTCAGCAGGGCATGATTGCTCAAGCCTATAACCTAGCTACATGGGAGGCAAAGATCAGGAGGATTGTGGTTCAAAGCCAATCCCAGGCAAAATGTGCAATATTTCCATCTCAACCAATAAAAGCTGGGTGCAGTGGCTCCCACCTGTTATTCCAACTATGTAGGAAGATTAGATAGCAGGATATCAGTCCAGGCTGGCTCAGGCATGGCTCAAGTGGTAAAGTGGCCTTAGTTCAAACTCTTTTACGTCTGGCTTTAAGATTTTTAAAAAGATGGAAAACTGTTCCAATGGTGATAAGCAAGTAAGAATAAAAAATAATGTTTTTTTAAAAACTAGGAATAGAAGGAAAGTTCCTCAACATTATAAAAGCTATATATGACAAACCTACAGCCAGCATTATACTTAACGGAGAAAAATTAAAAACCATTCCTCTAAAATCAGGAACCAGACAAGGATGCCCACTGTCTCCACTCCTATTCAACATAGTACTGGAATTCCTAGCCAGAGCAATTAGGCAAGAAGAAGGAATAAAAGGAATACAAATAGGTAAAGAAACTGTCAAAATATCCCTATTTGCAGACGACATGATCCTATACCTTAAAGACCCAAAAAAACTCTACTCAGAAGCTTCTAGACATCATCAATAGCTATAGCAAAGTAGCAGGATATAAAATCAACATAGAAAAATCATTAGCATTTCTATACACTAACAATGAGCAAACGGAAAAAGAATGTATGAAAACAATTCCATTTACAATAGCCTCAAAAAATCAAATACCTAGGTGTAAACCTAACAAAAGATGTGAAAGACCTCTACAAGGAAAACTATACACTTCTGAAGAAAGAGATTGAGGAAGACTATAGAAAGTGGAGAGATCTCCCATGCTCATGGATTGGTAGAATCAACATAGTAAAAATGTCGATACTCCCCAAAGTAATCTACATGTTTAATGCAATTCCCATCAAAATTCCAATGACATTCATTAAAGAGATTGAAAAATCTACTGTGAAATTTATATGGAAACACAAGAGGCCACGAATAGCCAAGGCAATACTCAGTCAAAAGAACAATGCAGGAGGTATCACAATACCTGACTTCAAACTATATTACAAAGCAATAACAATAAAAACAGCATGGTACTGGCACAAAACAGACATGAAGACCAGTGGAACAGAATAGAGGATCCAGATATGAAGCCACACAACTATAGCAACTTATCTTTGACAAAGGAGCTAAAAATATACGATGGAGAAATAGCAGCCTCTTCAACAAAAACTGCTGGGAAAACTGGTTAGCAGTCTGCAAAAAACTGAAACTAGATCCATGTATATCACCCTATACCAAGATTAACTCAAAATGGATCAAGGATCTTAATATCAGACCCCAAACTCTTAAGTTGATACAGAAAGAGTAGGAAATACTCTGGAGTTAGTAGGTATAGGTAAGAACTTTCTCAATGAAACCCCAGCAGCACAGCAACTAAGAGATAGCATAGATAAATGGGACCTCATAAAACTAAAAAGCTTCTGTTCATCAAAAGAAATGGTCTCTAAACTGAAGAGAACACCCACAGAGTGGGAGAAAATATTTGCCAATATACATCAGACAAAGGACTGATAACCAGAATATACAGGGAACTTAAAAAACTAAATTCTCCCAAAACTAATGAACCAATAAAGAAATGGGCATGTGAACTAAACAGAACTTTCTCAAAAGAAGAAATTCAAATGGCCAGAAAACACATGAAAAAATGCTCACCATCTCTAGCAATAAAGGAAATGCAAATTAAAACCACACTAAGATTCCACCTCACCCCTGTTAGAATAGCCATCATCAGCAACACCACCACAACAGGTGTTGGCGAGGATGCGGGGAAAAAGGAACCCTCTTACACTGTTGGTGGGAATGTAGACTAGTACAACCACTCTGGAAAAAAATTTGGAGGCTACTTAAAAAGCTGGACATCGATCTACCATTTGATCCAGCAATACCACTCTTGGGGATATACCCAAAAGACTGTTACTCCAGAGGCACCTGCACATCCATGTTTATTGCGGCACTATTCACAATAGCCAAGTTATGGAAACAGCCAAGATGCCCCAGCACTGACGAATGGATTAAGAAAATGTGGTATCTATACACAATGGAATTTTATGCAGCCATGAAGAAGAACGAAATGTTATCATTCGCTGGTAAATGGATGGAATTGGAGAACATCATTCTGAGTGAGGTTAGCCTGGCCAAAAGACCAAAAATCGTATGTTCTCCCTCATATGTGGACATTAGATCAAGGGCAAACACAACAAGGGGATTGGACTATGAGCACATGATAAAAGCGAGAGCACACAAGGGAGGGGTGAGGATAGGTAAGACACCTAAAAAACTAGCTAGCATTTGTTGCCCTTAATGCAGAGAAACTAAAGCAGATACCTTAAAGCAACTGAGGCCAATAGGAAAAGGGGAACAGGTACTAGAGAAAAGGTTAGATCAAAAAGAATTAACCTAGAAGGTAACACCCACGCACAGGAAATCAATGTGAGTCAATGCCCTGTATAGCTATCCTTATCTCAACCAGCAAAACCCCTTGTTCCTTCCTATTATTGCTTATACTCTCTCTACAACAAAATTAGAGATAAGGGCAAAATAGTTTCTGCTGGGTATTGAGGGGGGGAGCGGGAGGGGGTGGAGTGGGTGGTAAGGGAGGGGGTGGGGGCAGGGGGGAGAAATGAACCAAGCCTTGTATGCACATATGAATAATAAAAGAAAAATGAAAAAAAAAATGGAAAACTGTTCCAATGGTGATAAGCAAGTAAGAATAAAAAATAATGTTTTCATAGAGGAAGAAAAAAACTGATTATTCTATAGATATGGTAACACTAGCCATTCAACTGGTTAAAATGACCAAGGACAAATAACCTTCAGGAACATTTTTGCAATCTAACAAATTAATGTCAGCCTCACTTCTGAAAGTCGACCATCCAGAAGTAGGCTTATCTGAAAACAGGCCTCTGTGCATTAATCAATCAAGACCAGTATCAACTGAGCAATCACAATTCTACCAATGATGTCAACCCGCTTATGTCCCTGAAAACCCACACTTCCTCCACATCCTCTGTTATGTCACTAGTTTGTCTTCTCAGAAAGCCAATGGCTTTTAATTGAGTAACCAATCTATTCAATTGTGCCTTTTAAATTCAGATAAAACGATGTTAAACGCTGGTTTGACATAAGGTATTACTATAGAAATCAAAACAGATAATTATTTTATTTTATATTGCAAAGAGTTTTTCTTTGAACTTTGATATGTTCACTACATTCTCCCATGAGATTGGGGACTTCCCTAGTAATCACAACAATGGAAGTTGGTAATATGCTCTTTAAAAAGTACTTGGGAGTGATTCATCATTAGGACAGGAATATTGTGTGCACCTTCAATGGATCTTTATGAGCCACATAATCCTCAGGATTCTCCAAAAACTTGTGTTTGGCCTCAGGACTTGAAAAGTAGAAGATCTTTTCTCGATATTTACAAGCTTCTTCTGTGATGCCTGGTTGAAGGATGAAGTTTTCTTTGAGAACCACAGGACAAAAGTGCTTCGTATCTCCCAAATGCCTCCTTTTCTCTTTAGTTTTTTCTTCACTCTAGAAATATTATCCAGTTTAGAGAATATTATTAAAGGCATTTTGATGCAGTACTGAAGAATTTTTAAAAATTCATCTTGAATAATATTTAGTTTATAGCAATCCAACTTTAAAACAATCCACAAAGGTCATCTTTATATTATATTAATAATTAAAAGTGAGTTTCCCATATTCCTTTAAATTCACATAGTAAGTTTATTATTTTCATGAAGAAAAGAAATAAAGCATTTAAAAAACTAAAAGGTGTGCCAGCCTTTAAAAAGTGACATAGGTATAATGAAAAGTGCTGGTATTGGGTCACTGTGAGGTCAGTTTCTAAAAAAAAGAAAAGAAAGAAAAAAAGATTTCCAAAAAGTAAAGTATGAGTCAGGGTTATAACTTCTTACTTATTGCAAATTAGGTGGGTGATGTCTCAGGATTTGCAGTTTCCTTTTAAGTGGGTATGTGATTAAAAAATAATTTGGAAATATTTTATTTACTACAAGTGAAAATATGAGGTGAATATCCATTTATGATAAAAATGTGGAAAGTCCTTTAAGGATTCTTGCAATTTATTTAAAATAATGGAACTTGCTGTAAAAATATAAACATATCACAATGTACAAAGAAGGAAAATCCCCTCACCTTTTTCCTTCCAACACTTTGCATATTGGCTCTTAACAAATTACCATGCACTTAATGTCTTAAACAACAAACATTGTATTTTCTTAGTTTTGGAGATCAGTAGTCCAAAGGGGGTTTTATGGGGTTAAAGTTAGTGAGCCAGCAGGACTGGCTATTTCTGGAGGCTCCAGGGGAGATTCCATTTCTCACCTCCCCACCTTCTGCTCATGGTCTCTTCCTCTATCTTCAAAGACAGCTCCAAATATCTCTTCTCTGACCATGTTCCCTCACAGAAGGACTTCTGTGATTCCACTGGTCCATTTGGATAACCCTGATAATCTCCCCTCTGGAGATCCTTATTGAAATTGCCTCTGCCATACAGGATAACATCATAGGTAAGAGGGCTCAGACATAGACATCTTTGGGAAGCCATTATTTAGCCTATCACTACAGAAAAATCACAGCTCCTGCATTCTTCCTTTTCAATTTATATGTCTTTTATTTCTCCTTCTTGACTAAATGTAGTGGCCAAACCTTCAGAATAATAATGTTAGAAATGATGAGAGTGAACATCCTTACCGTGTCCTGATCTTAAGAAAAAAGCTCATTTAGCCTTTTATCATTACGTTAGCTGTTACTTAGAGATCTTTTGTAGATATCCTTTATGGAGCTGAAGAAGTTCCCTTATTCTTTTCTTCTTTCTTCTCTCCCTCCTTCCCTAACTACCTCCTTCTCTCCCTCTCTTCTTTCCTTCCATTCTGTCTTTTTCTTGAGCTAGGATCTCTCTATATAATCTAGGCTGGGCTGGAACCCTCAATCCTCTTGCCTCAGCCTCCTGAGTGCTGGGATTACAGGTGTGTGCCATCATGTCTGCCCTTTTTTTTTTTTTAGCATATGTTAGTTGCACAGAGGGTTTCATTGTGACATGTACATATGTTTCTTGTGCTTGGAATTCATTGAGCTTTTTGGATTTAAGAGTTTGTAATTTTTTTTTAATTTGAAAAAAAATATGAGCAATATTTCTTCAAATACTTGTCTATCTTCTTCCCTACAAACATCTCTTATGGGTTCTAATTGTAGGTGTATTAGGCTGCTTGAAGTTGCTCCACAGATCACTGATGCTCTTCTAACTTTTTTCAGGATTTTCCCTCTTTTGTTTCATTTTAGATAGTTTCTACTGTTAGTTCTTCAAGTTCTTCAACATTTCTGCAATAGCTAAACTATTATTATTCCATTCAGAGAATATTTTATTTCATATTTGTACCTTTCAAACCCCAACAATTCAAGTTAGATGTTTATTATCTTCTATATCCCTGCTCAATTTTTTGAATTTATAGAATACAGCCATAATAACTGTTTTAACACCCTTGTCAGCCAATTCTAGTGCCTTTATCAGTTCTGAGTCAGTTTCAGTTGACTGGTTTTCCTCCTCATTATGAGTTAGACTTTCCTGCTTGTTTGCAGATCTGATCATCTTTGAGTAGGTACCAGAATTTTATCTTGGATTCCCATAAATATTCTTGAGCTGTGTTCTTGGAGACAATTCAGTTACTTGGAAGCAGTTTGATCCTTTGCCTCCTCTTCTTTATGTTAAGTGAGGTCAAAGCAGCATTTATTTTAGGTCTAATTATTCCCCATCGCTGAAGCTAGAATGGTTATCACAATTCTGGTGCCAACGGAGTAGACCAGTGCTGAGCATGGGTCGTTCCTGTTGAAGGATGTCACATGCTGTCATTATGCAAGAAGCCCCTCAAACACTCTGCTGCTGTGGTTTCCATTATTGCTTCTAGTTGGCAAAATATTTACATTCTTAATACCTGTGTACTTTTTCTACTGAAAGAAATTAAAAAGACTTCCCTTTTGTGTTTTCACTTTTTTTTGCTTACACTAAGTAGCCCTGCATTTTGGAAAGTCAAGGGAAGTTGCAGTGTGAGGAAAGCTGCGTGAAAATGCATATTTACACAGCCTGCCTGCTCTATGGGGTGAGCACCCTGCATGAGCACATTTTCAATGACCTGCCCAATGAAAACCAGTAGTTAGCAAACAACCATGCCTCTTTCTCTTCTTCTTCCTCTTCTTCCGGCTCCTCATCCATGTCTGCTTCAGTCTGATAGTCTTCTGTCTCCTCATCATAATCTTCTATTGTTAACTCCCATGCGCCATATTGGAATGGTTCTGTTAAAGAAAAATAAAAAGAGAAGAATCACTGGGGAAAATATTTCTAGAATAAAAAATTGTAGCATATTATAGTAGTCAAAGGGTTAGGAGAATTTATTATTAATCTCTTAGTTTTAGTACACATGCAAATAGGCCTTTACAAATTCTTCATGTGACAACTGACCAGTGTGACCTATGTGTGTCCTTGTGGAGGCTTCGGTCAGTCAGAGCCACACCGTGACAATTACTAAATATTTTATACATCATCCCTGGGCATACTGAATATTCTACTTGATTAACCGGTATGAAAGGCTTCAGAGTTCCAAACGTTTTTAATACTAGTGCCTGGTCTTGATCGCAAATGCTATGACTACAGCTCTTACTTTCCATAGTATCAAATACTTTTTGAAGTAGCTCCTTCGGTGTTCTGTCAGCAATCTCCAAGTGCAGAGTTTGAATGAAGGAATCATTAAATATTAGTTCCAACTGTTTCCACATGAGAGTGTAAGTATTAATATTTTCTTTAAATGACTCCATTTCAGGAACATCAGGATAGGCATCTTCTGGAAACTCAGGGAGTACAACTTTTGAGTAAAAGTTAAAGAAATGAATAAAAGAGATTTTAATACCCTATCTTTAGCCATATTGCCAAAATAATTTATACTTTGTAATATTTTTAAAACAAAAAAAGTAAAAACTATTTTGAGCAACATTTATAAATTCATATTTTAATTATGATTTGTTCCTTATTGCTACAGATGAATCATTACTTATTAATAAAACTCAAATTATTTGGATAATTAATGTGAAGAATTTAACTGTTGATACAAAGTATAAAATAAAATTAGCTGGGCATGGTGGTGCACTTCTGTAATCCTAGCTACTCAGGAGGTAGAGAAAGGAAGATCAGGGCTCAAGGAGAGCCCTAGAAGCCCTAGCACAAGACTCTATCTCAAAAACAAGATGGGCATGGTGGGCACATGTCTGTGGTCCCAACCACTCAGGAGGTGAAAGTAACAGCCTAAGGTGGACCTGGTAAAAGCCCAAGGCCCTATGTGAAAAACAAAGTGAAAAATAGCAAAAGGAGACCAGATGTGGTGGCTCATGCTTGTAATCCCAGCTACGCAGCAGGTGGAAATTGGGAGGATAATGGTTTGATGCCAGCCCAGGAAAAAAGCCATTCCTGTAATCCCAGCTATGTAGATGACATAGGTAAAAGGATCATGGTCTGAAGGCCATCCCCAGACAACAACATGAGACTCGATCCAAAAAATAACTAAAGGAAAGCTACAAAGGGCTGGAGGCATGGCTCAAATGGTAGAGAGCCTACTTCCCAAGTGTGAGGCATGGAGTACAGTTCCCAGTACCATCAAAAAAACAAAACAAAATAAGTGAATAAAATTAAGTGAAAATTAATGTTATAAGCTGGATGGATACCTTTTTAATGGCATAAGCTAAATAAATATCAACTCAAACACAACATAGAAAGAGATAAGTGGGAAGTAGATACTTTGCCTGAAAAGACTAGGTCTATGAGAAATATGAAAAGCACTCTTATGCACTAACTACTTTTATTTTATGGTCTGACCTGTTTCAGATACTTGTTCAGTTTCCACACCCTCTTGGGATGCTTTTGGAATTTCTATTTCAATGCCAGTATCCTCCGCAGGCTCAGAGACTTAAAAAAAGAAATCTAATAGTTAGTGCTTGAATTTTAGCATGTTATTTTTTTATGAAAGTTTTGGCACAAAGAAAATTTCAAAACATCAAGTTTAAATTGTATATGTTATGGTTAATTGAAAGTGAAGTTCTTGTTAAGTGAAGAATGGCACAAGATACATGATGCTATGAGGCAGGGAATGAAGAGCATTATATTATATATTTTATAAATATATAAAAGGAAATGGACAATAATAATTAACACATGGTACATACAATTCCTCTTGATAGCTATGATTAAATATTTTCCAACTCCTGCTAATATGGCATCAGACTTGCAGAGATGATACTCCTTTTAGTTTCCCATTAAAACAACCATGAAGTTACACAGAAAAGACTGCCCAGTGGTAATGAACAATGATGATATTTCAGAGTCCCAGCTGTGGGTGATGGCATGTAAGAATTGAGGAGAAGCCTAGCTAATTTCACTACTGAAGGTACAATGTGAATGGTTTTTCTGGGTGATGTAAGACATGTCTCACATACAGCTCCAGCATGGATGGTTTCAGGGAAGGCAGAACTAACTATGATCTCTTGTCATCTCACACAGTTTGCTCCTGGTACTGAGACACAAATTTTGTGAATAGTATACATTCATACAGATATCCATTTTTGTATCAGACATACATGGATACATATATAGTCATTTTATAACACTGTGAAAACTATCCTGGGAGTCAGTTAAAGTAATATGTGGGTCCCCTTTCAATGGAATCTGTAATGTTTAATGCTTTATTAGAGCATGGAGTAGAAAGGGACACACCCAAGACTGGTTTGGTAGTGGCCTATTTAATTTCTGTGTTAATGAAAGCATTATAAACCATGGTAGAGAGAAAAGCATTGAGAACATACAGAGGATTCTAAACTGCCTTAGTTCTCTGGCTTAATCAGAGACTATGATGGCAAAGATCTAGTCACACTCTGGAGGAGTCATCCAAGGTGAATGCTTACTAAATATTACAACTTGAACTAGGTTATTCCATATTAACCTATATGATATATATTAGGTTTGTGTTTGAGACTGTCAGAAAGAAGGAAAAGAAATTTTAGTGAAGTGTGTGTGTGTGTGTGTGTATGTGTGTGTGTGTGTGTGTGTGTGTGTGTGTGTTGGGGAGGAGGGTTCTTATAAACACTTTACCTACTCTTCCTGCTGGTAAATGCCAAGATTTTCATAAAACCTATGAAAAGATGTTATACTGAAGGCAAACAGAGTGTTGATTCAAAGATTCAGGTGAAGATTTTGCTTGGGAGAATAATTTCTTATATAAAGCAGAGCAAATTTTATAAGATATAAGTTGAAGTACTCAAAAAGTGCCAATGTAATAGGAACCATGACATGTGAATATAGGCCAATTTTAAGTGAAGGCAGAAATACAAAAAAAAAATAGCTTAAATAGGAAAAAAATTCAAGGAGTGCTGAAATGCAATAGCATAATTAAAATATGCCATAGTTGAGAAGCAATAAAGAGCAGAAAATAACCAGTGATATGGAAGATAACAAGTCTTCAAAAAATATAGAGAAAAAGTACAAAGATGAAAACTGTCAGGGAAAAGAAGATTAATGTGTTTGAGAAGCAATCCTTATCAAAATCAAAAAGTTATGTGATCCTGAAAAAGGAATCTGAAGCAATCATTGAAGAAAACCAGTTTGAACTAGACCAAGACTGGAATTTGGGAGCATTTCCAATGTAATTATTGGTGAACTCACCACCACCACATAGCAACCCAAGGACTGTTCTAACAAATGGGGAGGGACTGTGGCCACTAGCAACATGTAGTAATGTTGAGAAGTTGTGCCTCTTTCCAAAATGGTATCTGGAGAGAGTCATAAACAAATAATTTCCATAGGAATAGCTACTATTTATGAGAATAAGTTCAGGAGGGCTTAAATGTCCCAGACTAATCCTTTCTCTCAGACTAAATTCTAGTTAGATCACAAGTAAAAATGAAACAAAGCAAACAAGAAAAAGACCGTGTTTAGGAACATGTAAGAGAAATGCATCAAAATATTAATATTATTGTCCTTTAAAGATGGAATCAAGGTGATTTCTCCCAGCTTTCCTATTCATATAAATTCTACATTTTCTGTAATTTGTACATATTTTATCAAACTTGGGTTGAATGTTGGAGTGATTTTGAAATACAGTTCAACATTAATTGAACTGTATTGGAACAACATATTGGAACCATGATCATGGTCTTTGATAGACATTTTCCAAAATTTAAATTGTTCCACAGACTCTTCAAAGCATCAATTCATGGTGACCTGCAAACACACTATGCAGCTAAGTCATCCTAGAGTCCAAGTTTTCAGGATCAGATTTTCCCAGAGCTAGGCTTCTGGTCTAGAGTTTACCTTGTTCCCACCCGGTTTGGGGAGAGTGACCCATCTGCAGCTCCAGGAATGAATCCCCATTGGTCTAAGCCCCAAATGTTGGTTCTTTCCCTTCTAATTTTGGAGGAGGAATGATAACATGATTTAGACAGTGCTAAGATTTAACTGAGGTTGGTTAGAGTAGGAATCCTGAGTCCTGGCCTTTCAAGGATTGATATCAATTAGATGTGGAACAAGGCCCAAGGTGGTAGCTCAGTAAGAAGAATGTGAAAACATTAAGCAGTCAAGACACTGTGGCAGGTGCTTTAGACAACGTCTCTACACCTGGAACAACCCTGCCAGGCAAATACTCCTAGCCCTGTTTTATAATGAAGAAATTAAAGGGCAGAACAATTACTTGCCATACACCAAAGTAAAATTCAAAGTGTTAATGAAACCATATTGATCACTTGTATTTTGAGAAAGCTCCAGACCCCAGAGCCTCTGGCCTCTTTGCCCTCCAGTCTCACTTCCCTCTTCTTTCTACTGCTCACTCTGCTGCAGCCACACTCAGTTTCTTTCTTGACTCTTCTGGGCTGTGTCCACATCTGAACCTTGCTGTGCAGTGATCCTTGCCTAAGTTCCTTTCAGCCTTTCTGTCTTGCCTTAAACGCCTCTTCCCAGATGATGCTGTTTTCTGACCCAAATGCTTAGTGCTGCTCCTTCCAAACTCCCCGCCATGGTCTCTATGATGCTCATTCTTTCAACATTTATTGATCATCTATGTATCCCAGGCACTGCTTTAGTGCCTTCAGACTTTCTTCATAGCACTGGACACAACCAGAAGTTATCTCAGTGATTTACTTGTTTATTCTCATTCTGTACTCCATAGAATGACAGCTTCTTGAGAGCAGGGTTCCTGACTGTCTTGATCACTGCTGGGTCCCCAGTGCCTAGGGCAGAGTTATCGCTTTGCCCACATTTAGAAGGAATTCAACAAATATTTGTTAAAATGAGGAATGAATATGGTTTAATATGGCAAAACAGACCCATGACCTCACAAAAATGAGCCTATGCTCAAGAGATGTCCGGTCATGTCTACGGCACTGGGTAGAACTGACCCTACATGAAGAAGGAACTGCTTTAGAACACTCAGAATAAGCTACCTGAGGGTAAATAAGGGATAAAAGGCACAAAGACAAGCTCTTCCTATAAATGGCCTAAGGTGACCTGTGAAAATGCTTTGCTACTCTTTTGACCCTGAAAACCCCACAAAATCATTCAAGTCAAGAAGTTCAAATCTCCATGTTCACTTTAAGAGCACTTGAGAAACTCAAGCCATCAAGCAAATGCATATTCAAAAAGCCACCAAATATCTAAAAGATGTCATGTTAAAGAAGCAATGTTTGCCATTCTAGCATTCCAATGGTGGAATTACTAGGTATGCCCAGGCCAAACACTGGGACTGGACACAGGATTGGTGGCCTAAAAAGAGTGCTGAATTTTTGCTGTACATGCTTTAAAATGCAGAGTGTAATGCTGAACTTAAGGGTTTAAATGTAGAGTTTCTGGTCATTGAACATATCCAGGTGAACAAAGCACCCAAAATGCACTGCTGAACTTACAGAGCTCATGGTGAGATCACCTGGTACACGAGTTCCCAGCCACATTGAGATGATCCTAGCTGAAAAGGAGCACATTGTTCCTAAACTAGAAGAGGAGGGTGCACAGAAGAAAAAGATCCCAGAAGAAACTGAAGAAACAAAAACTTATGGCACGGAAATAAATTAGGCATAAAATAAATACAAATAAAAGTGAAAAAAAAGTAGGAAGACAAATCCTCTCCATAGTCTGTTACATTTACAAATACTAATTGTGAGAAGATATTGGGAGCTGGAGATAATGTTTGATGTGTCATGTTTAGTGTGTATCACTTTCATTTCTTTGCTATTTTATGACCTGTTTTCTTACAAAACGTAGGTGGGTGGGAAGAACTGTTGTCAGCCTACCTGACTGGGTAAAGAAAAAAATAATGAAGTTTTTAGGTGGTTGCTTAAGTGTGTGATGCTCTGAAAAGGAAATTCAGTACTGGTGCAGGTGTTCTGACTCTATTGATTGCATGTGTGTATCACCTCCCCTCCATTCATATGCGAAGCTTAAATTTCCCATATGAAGGTATTTGGAGGTGGGGCCTTTGGGAAGTAATTAGTTCATAAGGTTATGGCCCTCATGAATGGGATTAGTGATCTTGTAGGAGGTAATGTGAAAGAGATAATCTCTCTGTGTTTATGTCTACCATGTAAAGATGCAACAAGGGAAAGTACTTTCACCAGACACCGGGTTTGCCAGCAACTGGATCTTGGACTTCTTACCCACTGGAACTGGAGGAAAATAAATTTCTGTCGTTTTAGCGACCCAGTCTCCAGTATTCTGTTATTGCAGCCCAAATGGACTAAGACTAATCCATAATCCAGGTGAACAAAGCACCCAAAATGCACTGCTGTACTTACAGAGCTCATGGTCAGATCATCTAGTACATGAGTTACCGGATTGATTAATTAATCCATAAAGCTAATTCCAATTCCTGCAGCAAAAATGACTTATGTTGAACTTGAGATTTCTTGATGTAAAATTTTCCCTTATTCCTATTTATTTTTATTTTTATTTTTTTCCTATTTATTTTATTAGTTAACAGTTGGGCCCCAACCTTTAACAGCTCTACTCTGGCATCTAGCTGAGTAGAATTAAATTTCTAATCCAATATGAACTGTGCTTGAAAGTACTTGTGAGCCTCACTCCCACCACAGTGGGGGCACCCTACCTTTCTGCTTTGAGCTCATTCTCAAGTTCTTAGGATGACTTTCATTCTCCATGTACTCCTTCTTGCTTTGACCCAACCCAGCAAACTCTCTTGAGGCAGAGCTGGTTTATGAGTAGGTGACATGTACAATTTCACAGAGTCTCCTGAAGGGCTCTATGCTGTTTACTGCTCTTTGGTTGTTATTTTGAAATGTAAAATAATTTAACCTTTGGGCTTATGTTTTGTAAGTGCTATCCAATGGGACAAGGGTGCATGCACAGAGGCAGAGGAGATACAGACAATATGTGTTGCCATTCTTTACATTCTCACCCTCACAAGCACTCCTGATGTCTTACCATAAGCACAGACTTTCAATAAAGCATAGTGTATCTGAGTAAGTGTGACTGAGTAGGCAGAGCAGGAATGCTGACACCTCTCAGAGATCAAGCTTTCTCTTTGAACTAGAACTTGTTCCAAACATAGAAAGCAAGTTATGACATTCAAAGAAATATGTTGACCAAGGGAGCTTATTGTATCCTTTTAAAACTTATGTCTTCCTCTATTAGTCACTTATGCTGAAAATGACACTACAGAAGGAAAGGAAATGATAGAGAAGTCAGTTTCTTTTCTTTTTAGTTAGATAGGAAAATAAATTCTGCAAATAAATTCTGTGCTGTAGAACACAGCACAGTAGGGCAACTATAGTTTACAACAACTTATAAATTTTGGAGCCAGAAGAGAAGCACTTGAAGGCTTCCAACACAAAGCAATACCAAATGCTTAAAGAGCTGGAAATGCTAGTTACCCTGATTTGATCATTACACATTGTATACATGCATCAACTACCACACTATACCCCCAAAATATGTCTATTTTTATGTGTCAAAGAAGTTTTTTTAAAATATGCAAAATAAAAAGTTGAGTTAGTTTGGTGCTATGAAGCTAACTTGTATCTTGGTAAGAACAAAATGCATAAACATGTATGAACAGTAAAATATGACCCAGGCAAATTTTTGATGATTCTCTACATGAGTTAAATCCTCTTCTATTTGCATTAACAATGGCAACATAAAGATTAATAAAAAAATCACTGCTCATAATTTAATAATTTAGTTTTTCTTTTCTTAGAATGACATTAAATAGCAAGCTGAACAAACATGCACACATACACACACACACACACACAGATGCTGGAAGAAAGGAAAAGGCCTTGTATTTTAGTACTTTCAATGGCACTTTATTCCTGCTTTTTGGGTAACATGTCTTGTGAATTCTATCACTGGCCCTGTTCCTGAGTGTCAGTCCCAGGGCCAAGCAGACTAAGTTTTCTTACTATACTGCTAACCATGCAGCTCTCTGGGGTTTTATTTTTCTATCCTTAGTGAGCTTCCATTTTATTCACACACAGAGAGAGACAGAGAGAAAGAGAGAGAGAGAAAGAGATACACACATGAGCAGGATTCAGTAAAGTCTGACCTAATTCTTGTTCTGTTTCAGGTACTTCAGGCACTTCAGAGTCTTCAGGAAGCAATGACCCTCTGGTGTTTTTGGGCATTTCAAGGGCCTCAGAGCCCTCACGGACTTCTGGTTCCTCACCTTCATTCTCCTCTCCAGTTTCATTATCAGCTTCATCAACTTCTAGAATGAGTAAGAAGGAATAAATTATTCAATTTAAGTCAACAAATATGTATTGGATGCCAATAAGTACTGAGGCCAAAGCAAAGAACAAGGAATGGTCCTTGCCCTCCTGGAGAATGTGTTTTAATGGGGAAGATAGCTTACATTATCTCTATAGAATATTTAAATGTGGTGAAGGATGTCAGTCATCTGCTCACAGTGCTATGAGAGAACAAGGCCAATGGTTTATTCCAAAGAAGAAATGTTTCCAGTAGTTTCAAAAGACTAGAAACCACTCAATGTCCATTCAATGAGGGAATGGCTAGAGATCTATACCGCCCAACATGGCAGCCACTAGCCATGCGTGGCTACTGAGCACTTGACCTGAGGCCAGTTCAAACTGAGATATGTGTAAGTAGAAAATATACAATGGATTTCACATATTTAACATGAAAAACTGAATGTAAAATGTGTGGCTACTAGAAAAATATAAGGTTACCTGTGTGGCTTACATTACCTTACGTTTCTTTTGGGCAGCACCAGGGAAGGTTTTTTTTTTTTACAGTTAATTAGAAATAATAAATAATCTAGCATGTTGATCAATGTATTAATTATAAATTTAGAAAGCCCATTATGTACATGAAAGTCTTTCAGCAAGAATTTGACTCTTTTCTCAATTCTCACAAGATCCTTCTAATAGAAGTAATTCCTACAGCCACCTGTCACCTGTGACAAGAGGACAGAGTGCAATGCTAGTCTTCTTTGTGCCCCTCTTGGAGGGCACACAATAAGTCTCTGTTAGGAGTCTTTTTCGTGTGAATCAATTACTCCAGTGATCATATAATTTATTATTGGAATTGGAATGTTGAGAATGAAAGGGGTACTCTAAATATTTCAGAACCAGAGCCATAAACCCGGACTCATTGGCCAACTGGGAGACATGATCACTCTATCTATAATTCACTTGAAATACTGCAGTCACTTGTGTAATGACACAAGACCAAGAGACATGTAATTAGTCACGTCAATCTGTGTTTGCCTTTTGCTTTCTCATTTATAGCATCCAGTGTCCTTTGTTCTTCTTCTTCCATTCTCAATTCCTCTTCTTTGGCTTTCCTGAAATAAAAAGGCCTCAAACTTATTGTCTTTGGAAACCTCACATTATTATAGGATTAAATACTTGTAGTAGGAAAAACAGAAAGACTACATTGTTTATAACGCTTTTACACTTTTTACTTTATAATGTATGATTTAAAATTACTCATGTAGAGACTGGTTAATTTTCTTCTTTTTCTTTCTTTTTTTTTTTTTGGTGCTGGAGTTTGAACTCAGGGTCTTGAGCCACTCCTCCAGACCTTTTTTGTGATGGGTTTTTTTTTGCAATAAGGTCTTGCAAACTATTTGGGCTGGCTTTGAACCACGATCCTCCTGAGTAGCTAGAATTACCGGTGCCTGGCTGCTTTTTTTTTTTTTTTAAATAAGAAAAACTGGAATGTCATCCTTAGAAAAACTTTAGGTATTAATTAGGAACTATGTCAAAATTAATAAAGGTTACCTAACTATAAGTTGAAAGGCAAACGGGTGGATTTGTAACATTTTTCCTCTGATTAAATGGGAAATGTTCACAATAAAATGCTAAGTGAAAAAAGTAGAGTATAAAATTGCAGCAAGGCACACTGACACTGATTCATGCCTGTAATCTCAGCTACTTGGGAGGCAGAGATAGGGAAAACTGAGGTTTGAGACTGATCTGGGCCAAAAGCTAGCTAGACAGGATGTCAACAAAAAAGCTGGGTGGGGTGATACATGCCTGTAATATCAGCAGTGTGGGAGGCAAGATCAGAGGCCAGCCCCTGGCAAAAAATAGACTCTCTCTGTAAAAATAACTAAAGCAAAAAGGTTGAAGGCGTGGCTCAACTGATAGAGTGCTTGCTGACCAAGCCCAGAGTTCAAACTCCAGTACTGCCAGGGGTAAGGGTGGGGAGGGTTCAGGGGAGCAGGCGAATGATCAAAGTATAGTATATGCAAGTATGGAAATGTCACGATGAAACCTCTTCCCATGCACAGTTTCACATATACTAATAAAAACCTGTATGTATAATACAATTTTAATTTTTGCAATACAAATATAAAACAACTTTAATTTAAAATATGTACAAATGAGGATTAACAATCTAGAAATTAACTCTGGATGGTAGCATTATATGAGTTTTGAATTTTCTGTGACTTTTTTTCATTAAAAAATTTTCTACATTGAATAAATAGAAAACTTGTAAATTTATTTTATTAGTTGGAACAAAGCCCGGGTGCCAGTGGCTCATGCCTGTAATCCTAGTCACTTGGGAGGCTGAGATTGGGAGAATCTTGCTTCAAGACCAGTCTGGACAAACAGTTTGCAAAACCTCATCTCCAAAAATAACCAGAGCAAAATGGACTGGAGGTGTGGCTCGAGTGGTAGAGCACCTGCTTTGCAAGTGTGAAGTCCCGAGTTCAAATCCCAGTCCCACCAAAAAAAGAATACCTTTGATATAGGTTGTAAAAACATTCATAACTTTGTACTTTAGAACTTTTAGATGTATCATGAAAGGACTGTCTTGGAATTTAATAGTTAATAGACTATCTTTTTGATATTAGAAATATTTCATAAGTATAAATTTGGAGAAGATACTTAATTGGTATAAAAGCAACATTGATCTGTTTTATCATTCTAGGCAGATTTTACCTTGCTTCTTCTTCTTCTTCTTCTTTTTTATTTTGTAGTTCACCTAACAATCTTGCTAAGATATCTGCATCAATTTTAGACTTATTTTCTAAATACAGTCTATGAAGTAAACATTTTCCTGAAACACAGATAGAGAGAATAATGTTATTTTTGAAGTTGCATATATTTTTGAAGTTCCATATTTTGGAAATTAACAATAAAAATTATTTTTACCTATATCTAAATATATTTTCTTTAAGCACTTATCTGAACAGAGCCCCAGTTCCTTAAAATTTTAATGGGATGTCTTAAATCTTTTTTTTAAAGGTAGCTATATTAATATGGCATAAATAATGAAAACATGAAAAGACAGCATTTTCAGTGTTCTCCTGGAAAGTCTCATTTCCTTTAGAGACAAAGTGATGCATAATTCAAATTCAGCATCTTCATGTATTTGACTGGAAGGGGTGTTATATTCTCAGCTCCAAAGCACAATGACAAGGTCTGCTGGAATGTTCAGTGATAGGACACATCATCCCAGGCCTCCCCTTGGTAGACAGACACCTCACTGTGTGCACCTTGAGGTCCTGTAGGGATTGCTGGGGTAGTATTTATTCCTAAGGATTGTGGAGACTTCTTCATTCTATATTTTAACCCAAAATATTCTCAGCAATAAAATTTCCACTATCAAATTTACATGACAAATATTTACCATCATTTTCCGCATCTGATAAATAGATCACCAAATCAGGTATAATTCCTTTGTCAAGTAAGGCTAGCCACAGCTCTCTCTGAATGGGGCAGTTGTCCACGATCCATCCTCCATATTTTGGGGCACCAGGAAACCTATTTGTGTTGTCTTCCATGACCTGTGAAATATCGCAAACCGAACAACCATTGTCACATGACAAGTCAAGGGCTCTATCTTGATATGTATTTTTGTGCCTCTCAAACAAGGAGCTTCTGAGTTCTGACTTTGAGAACGAATAAAAGCAACTTAAATTTAAAAGACAAACCTTTAATGCAAGAAAATTGTAAGTTTTAAAAGTTAGGAACGGGAAGTAAAAGTTTTTATTAAATAAACATAACAGTGAGTTTTTGCTGTATATTACTCAGTACCATTGACAGCAGAGCTTGATTCAGAAGATCTGGGGTGGCGCCTGAGTCTGTCATTCTAACACGCTCCTGGAGATGGCACATGGACCACTCTGAGTAGCAAGGTCTAGTCCAGCTTTGTGTTGGTGGTTACATTCTTTGCTTCCTTCCCTTTTGCTCTTCACTCATCACAGTTACTAAGATGGTTAGGTTATGATAGCAGTAAGAAGGAACTGGGTCAAAATGATTCTTGCCAGTGCTTTGGGGACTTGGATAAACTGCCCCCTCCCGATGTCAGTAGCACTTGCTTCAATGGGAGTTAGTAATGTGGGCCTCTGAATACACCATCTCTGAGGTGTATGGAAACAAGTTTGTGGAGACTCAGCTCCCACCTCCTGCATGTCAGGGGTGTTCCTTTTCCTTTTCTATTTCTCCCTCTTTGCTCTGCTTTGCTAAAACAACAAGTTTATGTGCTATTAGATAGTCACAGAATTGTTAGAAATCAAAGGGGAAGAGACATCAAGAGAGTCATTATAACTGTTGGGCCTATGCATAATTTAAGATAATCAACTTTTTAGGGCCACGTGTGATGATACATGATTTTAATCCCAGCTACTTGGGAGGCAGAGATAGGAGGATTGCAGTTCCAGGTCAGCCTAATCAGAGTTAGTGAAACCCCATCTCAACCAATAAAGCTTGGGTGTGGTAGTATGTACCTGTCTTAGTAGCTACATGGGAGGTGTAAATAGGAGGATTGCAGTCCAGGCCTCTCTGGGCAAACATGTGAGACCCTCTTTGAAAAACAGCTAAAGCAAAAAGGGATGGGGCATGGCTCAAGTGTAGTGCATGTGCCTAGCAAGCATGAGACCGTGAGTTCAAACCCTAGTACTGTCTTCCCCCAAATTATCTACTTTTTTGAATATTTATCTGCATAAACAGTCTTTGGGGGAAAAAGAATTATAAACACTTTAAAATGCTTAACATAAGGGAATTTGGGAGAAAAAGGAAAGCTATGAAGAAGAAATAGAAATGGTTAATAAAATTTTCACTATCCAAGTTTCAAAGATAAGAAAAATAAAAATTCAGATGTAATTTTATAACTTCTCTGCCTCCTTCAACTTTTGGTTGAAAAAAGATTAAGTGACTTAATAGTGTTTATCACATGAATAAATCTTACTTTGTTTAATCATCCCTTTACTAATCAATATTTATGTGCTTTATAATTTTGTTATAGTATAGATGCACATCTTTCTCCATTAAGTCTTTATTATTTTAATAACATCATGACAAAAACATTTTTACATATAAATCTATGTCTCAGTGTTACTTATTTCTTTAGGTTAGGTTCCTAGAAGGAGTGTTTTTCAGTCAAAGGGAATTCAGGGTGAATATTTTAAAGACTCTTCAAACACATTGCCACATTGCTTCCAAAAACATCTGGATCAATTTTCAATCTTCTGGACAGTGTCTGCAAGTGACTGTACTATGATAGCCTCTTTATTACTGATTGTTTTAAAAAACTGCCAGGTTTACAGGTGAGAAATTATATCTTGATGTTTTAATTTTCATATTTTTATTGAAACTTAAACATTACAAATTTTCAGTTAAACATCTGTGTTTTTTCTTTGGTGAAATATGTTTATATCCCTGACCTGCTTTTATATTGGGATATAAAATTATCACACTGCCTTAAAAGAAATTAATTTTCTATTTATTGTAAATACTTTCTCCAGTTGGACCCTTACTTTAAAGTTTTGTCTTTCATGATTTCTTACACAGAGTTATTCATTACTAAGTGGCCTCTCTATTGAGTTTACCTTAAGAACCTTCTGAGAAGATCCAAGATGGTGACTGGGACACAGCCGCAGACTGTGTGAGCTCTGTGAACCAAGGACTTTGTTAAGACACAGGAGACACACTTGGATGAGGTAAAGCACAAGGAAGAGCAGAAAGTAAGGCATTCTAAACCCCTAGGTCATGGAAGGCTTCTCCATGCCACGATCTACTAAGAGAACAGCCAGCCTGCCAAGTCCTCTCCCCACAGGCCTGCGCTCCACTCCACTGGGCTCTCCACCCCTAGCGCCATGCCGGGGGCCCCAGCTCCACATGAGATGGAGATGACTGGATCCATGCCCTTCTGGGATCCATGCCCCTCCGGGATCCCTACCCCTCTGGGATCCCTGCACCTCAGGTCCTGCCAGGCACCAGCTCTGCGCAAGACAGCCATATCCTCTGCCCTGCCGGGATCCCCACCCCTTGGGCCATGGTGGGCCCAAGCTCTGCGCCAGATGCCCACCCCACCGGGATCCCTGCCCCTCGGGCCAGGATTCCAGCTCCACGCCGGATTCATGCTCAGCTGGGATCACCGCCCCTTGGGTCCCCCTGCCCCTCAGGTCCTGCTGGGCCTCAGCCTCGAGTGGGATGACCAGAGCCATGCCCCACTGGGATCCTCACCCCTCGGGCCCCACCGAGCACCAGCTCGGCATGAGACAGCTGTATCCCTGCCCTGCTGAGAAACCCGCACCTCGGGCCCTGCCGGGCCCCAGCTCTACAAGCTTGCCAGATAACCATTCCACCAGGCTGCCACTCAGGCTGCCACAGGAGGGATCCAAACCTGTCTAAGAGACACAGACAGACAGGACTGGATGCTAAAGGAGTAACATCAGACCAACTAAGACTGCAATTCTACTGTTCCAGAACTGGAGATTTTTTTTGAAGAAGGAGAAGAGGTGCAAGCAAAAGGAATGTGTAATATATTCAACAACAACAACAAAAAAACCCAGAAAATTTCCAAATCTAGACAAAACTATGCCCATCCGGTACAGGAAGCCTCCAGAACACCAAACAGACCTGACCAAAATAGAACTACTCCACAACACATTATTATTAAAACAACAATACAGAGACTAAAGAAAGAATATTGAAGGCTGTAAGAGAGAAAAAACCAAATAATATACAAAGGTAAACCCATCAAAATCACAGCAGATTTCTCAACAGAAACCTTAAAAGCAAGAAGAGCATGGACTGAGGTATTCCGGGCACTGAATGAAAATAACTTCAATCCTAGGATACTCTACCCAGCAAAACTATCATTGAAAATAGATGGAGCAATAAAAGTCTTCCATGATAAGCAGAAACTAAAACAATATGTGACCACCAAGCCACCACTACAAAAGATTCTCCACGGAATTCTATATACAGAAATGAAAACAAACAAAACCATGAAAGGGCCGACAATACCAAACCATAGGAGAAGAAAAGGCAAGAAAGTAGAGAGTAACATTGATTCAGCTGCACACAATCAAACCCTTAAACAACAAAACCAACTATATGACAGGGATCACCACATACCTATCAATACTAACACTGAATGTTAACAGACTTAACTCCCCCATCAAAAGACACTGATTGGCAAACTGGATTAAAGAGGAAGATCCAACAATCTGCTGCCTATAGGGGACCCATCTCATTGACAGAAATAAGCACTGGCTGAGAGTGAAAGGCTGGAAGAAGATTTACCAAGCTAATGGTTCCCAAAAACAGGCAGGGGTAGCAATACTTATCTCAGACAAAGTAGACTTCAAACTTACATTGATCAAACGAGATAAAGAAGGACACTCCATACTAATAAAAGGGGAAATACACCAAAAGGAAATAACAATTAGCAACCTATATGTGCCCAACATCAATGCACCCAATTTCATCAAACATACTCTGAAGGACCTAAAATATATATATAAACTCCAACACAGTGGGTAGTGGGAGACCTTGACATCCCCCCCATTACCAATAGATAGGTCATCCAAATGAAAAATCAATAAAGAAATCCTAGAACTAAATCACACCATCGATCAAATGGAACTAGCTGATGTCTACAGAATATTTCATTCAACTTCTGCACAATATACATTCTTCTCAGCAGCCCATGGAACCGTCTCCAAAATTTATCATATCTTAGGGCACAAAGCAAGCCTCAGCAAATATAATAAAAAAAAACAATCCCATGCATTCTATCTGATCACAATGCATTAAAACTAGAAATCAACAACAAAAACAGCAGTAAAAAACATACAAACAATTGAAAGCTGAACAACACATTGCTCAATGATCAATTGGTCATAGATGAAATAAAAGAGGAAATTAAAAGGTTCCTGGAAGTTAATGAAAATGAAAACACGACTTACCAGAACCTATGGGACATAGGAAAGGCAGTCCTAAGAGGAAAGTTTATAGTTATGAATGCATATATTAAAACAACAGAAAGATCTCAAATCAATGACCTAATACCACAGCTCAAACTCCTAGAAAAACATGAACAAGCAAATCCCAAAATAAGCAGAAGGAAAGAAATAATTAAAATAAGGGCTGAAATCAATGAAATAGAAATGAAAGAAAACCATACAAAGACTCAATGAAACAAAAAGCTGGTTCTTTGAAAAATAAATAAGATTGACAGATCCCTGGAAAATCTGATTAAAATGAGGAGAGAAAAAAACCCAAATCAGTAAAATCAGAAATGCAAAAGGGAAGATAACAGCAAACACCACAGAAATCCAGGAAATGATCAGAGACTATTTTGAGAGCCTATACGTTAATACATTTGAAAATTTTGAAGAAATGGACAGATTTCTAGAAACTTACAACCAACCAAAACTGAACCAAGAAGATATTAATCACCTTAATAGATCTATAACACAAAAAGAAATTGAAGCAGCAATCAAGAGTCTCCCAAAAAAGAAAAGTCCAGGACCTGATGGATTCTCTGCTGAATTCT